GGTCTTCACTCCTGGGGTGTTGGCGAAGGGGGCTCACACCTCCCGATGCCCCGCCCCACTTCCGGACAGTCCCTTCACACACGCGAAAGCCTCTGACTCTCCCGGTCCCCCTCCACGCCCCGTTTCCGCTCCCTCAATCCAGCTCTTCTCACCCCTCCAAAGCGACTCTTTTCTCCTTCCAATAACAATGAGTCCTTTTAAAACGCTGACAAAGTTCTGGGCCTGCGTGTGCTTGGACATACATAGGTGGTGTCTGAAACTCAGCCGTTAACCATGAACCCCCCTTACGGCACAGGGGGCCTGGGGGGACTCGAATCTGTGTGCATCTGCCTCCCAGCATGGTGCCATGAAGATGCCGATGCAACTGTGAGAATCGACCTCTTGGTGACAAGCCGTCATGTCCTACATAAGTGACATTTTGTCCCCTACTTAGCCAACACCTACATAATGGTGATTCAGCTTCTCTCAGTCATTGGTAGAATTATCAGATAGAAAACCAGCAAGGATACAGAATAGCACCATCCACCACCAGTACCTGACTGACCTTTCTAGAACATTCCACCCAACAATGTCAGAATACACATTCTTTTCTACTGCAGCTGGGACAGTCACCAAGACGGACCATATCTGGATCACAGGAAGCCTTAACAAATTTACAGGGATTAAAATATACCAGGTATGTTCTCTGACCATAGTGGAATTAAACTGGAAATCAGTAAGAAAGATGAAAAGACAATGTATCAAAACATTTGGGATGAAGGGGAACATATATAGCATTAAATGCTCATATTAGAAAAGAAGAAAGGTCTCAAATCAATAATCTAGGCTTCTACTTTAAGAAGCTAGAAAAAGACCCTGACCAGTATGGCTCAGTTGGTTGGGCATCGTCCTGCCAAGCAAAAGGCCATGGGACCAGGGTTTCTCCTTGCACGTTGATGTTTCTCTCCCTCTCTCTTCCCTCCCTTCCCCCTCTCTGAAAATAAATAAATAAAATCTTTTTTAAAAAAGAAGTGACTCCTCCCTGCCCTTCCTCACACTTTGAACAATGCTGTTTTATTCTTCTCCACATTTGTTACCTCTAAGATCTGCTTATGCCGAGGAAAGGGCAGTTTCTAAGGCGGGACTTTGAAGAGACCACAATGAGCCCTGGCCTCCCAGCCCCCAGACCGCTGGAGGGTCCTGAGTCCAACGTGAGGCCAGGCTGCCCAGGACCCTCGCCCGGTTTCCCAGGGAAAATCCACCTGGCCTCGTCTCCCAGGGCCTCCCAGCTTATCTGGGGCCTCTGCCCCCTCCTTCAAGGTCCTGAGTCCTTCAGCAAAAGCAAGCCTCCCCCAGGGCCCCGGGGGACCCTGAGCCCACGGAGGGCACAGAGCGAGAAGAGGTGACGCAGCGAGCACGTTACATGGTACGGGTTTTTATTAAATCACTTTGGCAAACATTGAGAGTTCAGATGAAACATTTGTAGGTGGCGCCTGGTCATTTAAAATGACCTAGTGGATCACTCAGTATATTAGATCGAATATAAATTCGGCTGTTGACACAGAGACCCAGAATGGGTTAATCAAGTTAGAGGTGTGTTTCTCTCCCTCCTAACAGTACCAGTGTAAGTGGTTCAGGGCTGGAGTGGCAGCTCCATGGGTTGGGGACCCAGGTTACAGGAAGGCTTGTTCCCGAGTCTTTGGTCCTGTCAGCTGGAAGGGGTGAGAGGAACGGAAGTGGTGCTCATCACTCTCCCCTCATTGGTCAGCAGTGAGTCACGTGGTCATACTCAGCTACAAGGGAGGCTGGGAAATGTAGTCCTTTATTCCTTGGAGCCCTGTGCGCTGCTAAAAAGGGTTGAAGAGATGGCAACAAGCAGAGTGCTTTACCATACCTATGCGAGCTCGCTCTTCCTAACTCAGGCGGCCTTCAAGGCCCCCTTGCATGCCACCCCGACGAGGCTCCTCCTGACCAGGGACCCTGGAGGACATAAAATTTCCTCCACATCCAGGGACTTGGGCACTATGACCATAGGACGTGCCCCCGGGGCGGGGCAGGCTGCAGGGGTCCCACGCCAGGAACACAGCAGGGCAGGGGTCCGCATCGCGCTCATTTCTTCTCTCTGTATCTTGGGAAGCCCTGAGCCGGGCTTTGGGGAGTGACATTTAGGGAGGTACTTTCTAACATGCAAATATGAGTTCGCGGTTTGGGAGAGCAGGGGGACAGAGCGGAAGGCTCGCAGTGGGGAGAAACGGAGCTGTCCTGGGGTTCACCCGTGCGGTCGTACCCAGGAAATGGCAGCCAGCCCGTGCCACCCAGCAAAGCAGGCGGCTCAAATGTGCTGCGGTCTGTGCTGTGGCCCTTCACTGGATCTCACCCCACAGTAAGCTGCCCGGGCAGCCTGACCCAGAGCAAGAGACAATGACCGTCCTGTGCCAACAGCAGCAGGGACGCTGAACCTTGTCCCCATAGACACCTCTCAAGGCTGAGCCACCTTCAGTAACAGCAAACGCCCACTGTGAGCTCACCATACGTGGGAATCAGTGGCCCAACCACCCTCACGTGAGCTCTTTGAATCAGATCTGGGTCTTCCCAGAGAGAGGTGTCCCTGGGAACGCATTTAGTTTGAATGCTTCTGTCGATTGGAGGTGCGTGTGCATGCAAATCACCTCCAATCTCCGCTTCAGGGACAGCCCCTTAGTATTTGAAATACCCTGCTCAGGAATCCACTCTCCAGAAGGGGTCACATTAGCATTTTAAATACATGCTGTTATTAAAACCTACACTACAGAGTCTGTTCATGAGCAAAAGGATGTTAGAAATTATTTTGCACAGAAGTGTGAGGTGATTGAGATAAATGAGTGTCTGGAAAGAATCCCTGGAGCTCAGAGCCTTTGCCCCCCAGGGAAGAGAGCTCGGCCCGCCGTCCCTCCAAGGCCTTCAGAGCAGCGCTCTGGGGCTGCGTCCCCCGGGTCCTAGGTCCCCCGCTCCTCGGGGGAACAGACACAGGTGTATGACTGCATTTGCACCTGTGTGCTAGTAAATATTTGGACATTTGGCAGAGTGAGACCTGCTTTTCCTCTTCTTTATTCCTTTTCTTTTTTTTTCTTATTTATTTATTTATTTGTTTGTTTGAGAAGGAGGGAAATGGAGAAAGAGAGAGAGAAACACCGATAAAAAAGAAGCATCGATTGGTTGCCTCTCCTACACCCCTGAGGACTGAACCTGCAGCCGGGGCATGTGCCCTGACCAGGAACTGAACTGGTGACCTTTCGCTTTGCAGCACGATGCCCACCTGACTGAGCCACACTGGTCAGGGCAAGATCTGCTTTTGCTCAACTGTTGTCGAGAGGGTTAATGGAGCCACGGCCTGCCTCTAAGTGGGGGTTCCACATTCTTTCTATCCTCACCCAAGGATATGTTTATTGATTTTAGAGAGAGGGGGAGAGAGAGAGGTGAGAGAGATACATCAATCGGCTGTCTCAGGTACGCCCCCCAACCGGGGAACGAACCCGCAGCCTTTGGGTGTGCAGGACGACTCTCCGACCCACTGAGCCGCTGGCCATTTTCACCAGAAAACCTTGTCAGTGAGAACACATGCCCAGCGTCATGCGGAAGCAGGTCTGATTCTGGAACCTGCACCTCTAACCATTGCCCCACACTGCCTCCCCACATTGCCTTTGATGGGCTCCCACGTGCCTCAGCCCCGCCGGAGCGAGGCAGGAGGCCGTGCATGCACCCCCTTTCTGTGGCTGCTTCAGCCCCAAGTGGAAGTTACGCTGGGCCCCCCAGCTTTGTCTCACGGGTGGTGTTGGTCTGACAACTCCTTTCACAAAACCACCTCTGAAATGTGACCTATTTTTGCAGGGAGTGGGTGGCTTGTTCTAATGTTGGCTGCTTGATCTCATCAACCTGTGCGTTCACATGTCTCTCAAGAGCAGTAATATGTTTCTCACCGGCAGTTATGCACTTGAGGTGACATTGCCTTTATTGTTCCCTGACTGAATGTTTCCTGAGCGAGCTCCGGAGAGCAGGGGCTGTGCCTGCTCTGATCCCCCCTCTCCATGCACACCGAGCCCACAGCAGGGCCCCTGCATATTGAGCACACACTTGGTTACTTGCCTGGTAGGGAAAGAGGGAACCCTACCAAGATCCCAGGCTCCAGGCCAGGGGGCAGGGACCGTGGCAGAGGGCAGCCACACCAGCTGCCGAATCACGGGGGGCCTTTCTGAGTGAGAGCTCCCCTGCCCATGCACCCCTCCATGCGGTGAGCAACAAATCTCTGGGTCCTCAGCGCCTGGCCCTTCACGGGGGCAGGTCACACCAGGTGAGTGGACGATTAGCCTGGATCTGGGCAGATGGAGGCAGGACTCCTCCTCAAGACCCCGCTGGGTGCCCTGTCCTGCAAGCTCCCCAGGGGTGTATGGCGCGGTCCCCAGAGAGTGGCATCCACAACTCTGGCGGTGAAGCCGGTGACGTGGGTTTGACCCAGCTCCCCGGGGACGCCGGCGCACACAGTCTCACAACCGCTGGACTGGGCCGACTGTTTTCAAACATGTGTAAATCTTTAGAAAAGCCCTTTAGAGGCCCTGGAGAGGTGAGACAGGCAGGAACGGAGAGGCTGGGCGAGACACGCGGGTGGAAGGCTCACCCTGCTCAGCCCTTGGCCCCCTGGAAACACTCCTTGAAAGGTTCTGCTTGAACCATTATGCCGAAGGCTGCCCCCTTGCACGTGGCTTCTCTGGGGGACACGGGGTGGACAACACCGAAAGCGAGAAAGGGTGTCACAGGAGGAAGAAGAAACCCAAGAGGAAACGAAAAAGAACAGAAACAGACAAAGCAACAGGTCCACACAAGGGAGGCAAGGACAAGTCCAGAGGTGTGTTTAATTGGTGCGACAGGGACGACATACAGAGGAGCACGGGGTGGCCTGGGCATGCTGCATGGCGCCTGTCCCCACCCCCACCCCCCCACCCCGGCCCCGGGCCGCGCCCTGCCCCGCCCCTCGGGGTGAGGGCCTGCCCCTTCCCCAGAGACATACACCAGCCGATTCAGACAGAACAGTGCCCCAAAAAGAGGCTCAGAGCAGGCTGGGGAGGCAAACAGAAAGAAAACAACCACAGACCGGAAGCCCTGTCTTGCTTGTTTGTTTGGGTGAGAGTTATCCAAATTCCCTTCCCAGGTTGCAGGCTCCTGGTGGGGGCGCCACGGCAGCTCCGACCCCTGCGCTGGCCTTACGCCTCTGCAAGGTGCTTTGGTGACTGCGCTCACTTCTGCTCCCCACAATGCCCCTGTGAGGTGGCTGAGCAGAAATTCTCACTTCCATCCGAAGAATGGGGACACTGAGTCCCACCAAGCCAAAGCGACTTGCCCAGAGTCCCGGGGAAAGCCCCCCGTCGCTGAGTCAGACTGAGAGCGTGTGGCCCTCCCTGGGGCCACGGGCCACTGCAAAGACTTGGGGGAAATGACGACATCTGGCTTGCGGACGGGGGCGTTGCATTTGCCACAGTCCTGGGGAGCAGACAGAGCCTGAGCCTAGATGCCAAGACAGAGATGGGACCAGCTGTTTATTCAACAAAAGCCTTTTATTCATTCAAAAATCAACCATTGGGTTTATTCTGCAGATATTAAAAAAAAATGTTGGGGGACAAGGCTCCTCGCCAAAGTGTCCGTATGCTAATTAACTTGTTATTCCCGGGGCTCACCTAGAAAAGGGGCATCTGAGGAACACACTGTCAATAATGTGGGGCTGGAGGCCCACGGCTTAGGGGAGGTCACAGCCCCTTACTCACCTCCGCACCACCTGCAGCCTCCCGCCCTCGGCAATCACCCGTTTGGCCGGTTGGGACCCTCCCACATGCCCTTGCAGCTCACCGCCACCAGGGGGCGCGCCCACATTCTCTTGGATTCCTTAGAAGCTGAAGCTGCGGTGGGAACAGGGTGGCTCCCCACCTGGGCACCGGGCTCTCCCCGGGAAACTCCATACCCCAGTTTCTCCCCCTACACAAAGAGACAATGTCCCAGAAAGCTCAGGTGCGTCTGTCGTCTAGGTCACTGGCTGTCAAAAGCATTTCAGGGTAAGAGAGGAACACAAATGTTTGCCTTGACTTAAACATTGTCTGGTTAAATCCTGGAAACTCATGACATTCCTCTAAGTACCATCGACACAAAGTAGGGGGCAGACGCTGCGAGGAAGAGGCCAGGGCCGCTGCAGACAGTGGCCTGAGGCTGGACCCTGCTCTTTGGCCCTGGGACCAAGAACCTGGCTGCTGGCTGGTCTGGGTCCCCAGAGAGCAGTATCTGATGGGGCTGGGCCTCAGGCGGAACAGGGTGCTGGGGAGGGAGGCCCCCAGGCTGCTCCGGGTTCCAACGCGCCACAGCCAGAGGCCTGGTGAGGGGTGGCAGCAGACCTGTCCCTGCCTGGCAAACTCAGGCACAAATGGCCAGTGTCCAGCACGCTGCCAGGAAGAGGGGTGGCCCTTCTGGCAGCCCCGAGCTGTCTCAGGGCAAGTACCCAAGGCGTGCCTGAGGCACGGGTCCACAGTGCCACCTGCTAAGGCCAAAAGGCCTACCCATGGCTCCAAACCAAACGGCCAAACTGCCTCCCTGGAAGGCAGGAGGAATGTCCTGCCCGCCGACGCTGGCAACCAGTCGATACCTCAGCCTGAGGGGTCCACGTGCTTAACCTTGGATAACGCTCAGCCACAGTCCCCTTCCTGTGATGCCTCCAGGGCAGGCTCTACAACAGCATCCCCTCCATGGACTAGAGGAGCAGCCGAGGCTCAGGCAGAGGCCAGAAAGCAATCTGACCCGGGAAGGGCCCCTCTCCCTTCCCCTCTGACCCCAGGTGGCCAAGTTCATAGGGTCTCAGGTCAGAGCCACAGGAAGGAACTGCAGGATGTGGAAATGAGTCCTGGGCCTCCTGGGCCAGTAGCCTGAGCAGAAAGGTGACCGCCGGGGCTGCAAAGAGTCCAGCCTTCAGTCACCTGTGAACATGGAACGGCTGCTCCTGTCCCCACAGGATCTGGGGGGCTCAGAGTGGAGGCAGCGTGCAGCCCAATGGCCGGCCTACGCAAGGAGGGCGGGTGCTGGGGTCAGGGGAGCGGCCCCACCGGCAGGGCCCCTCTCTCAAACGGCACCCTCTGGGGAGAGTCCGTGGTCTGAGGGTTAATCAGCAGGAGAAGCTCCGGCCTCCCGGGGAAGTGCAAAGTGGAGACCAAAAGGACAATTCAAAGTGGGAACCACGGCCGCACTGCTGCCCTGGGGCTGGGGAAAGCAGCGGCGGGGAGGCTGCTGGCTTTGCAAAGATGCTGCAGGAGTTGTAGACTCAGGCCCTAAACAGGCCTGGGGGGCTGCTCCTCACCCCAGCCGCCTCCCCTGGGCCAGGACCAGTTCTGGACCAAAAAGACCGCTCAAGGGTCCAGGAGGAACAGGAAGCACTGCAGGGAGGGACAAAGTGTATCATCTGACCCCACACACCATGACCAGTGGCTGCCATGTCCCTGAAGACTTGTGCCAAGAGACAGAAGAATGACTCAGACGGTCCCCGTGTCGGCTGGGGTCTGGCACGCATAGCCCCAGATCACAGAATTGCCAAGTGCAGGAAACTCAGAACTACATCCGTCAGTGTGGAGGGGCTCCCACAGCAACCAGCCAGGCCTTCTGGCTCTGCCACAGGGATAGCTGGTGTCCGGAGAGGCAGGTGGTAGCCCTCAGTCTCAGAGCCAGAGCCAGCCTCAGGCTCCTGGCCTGGGGTCCGCGGGTCTCTGACTTTCCTGGTGGCCGTTCTGGGGCCACCCTTTCTAGGAACAGATAAAGCTAAAAACCTCCCCCACGAACGCCGGGGGGCCACAGCCCAGAGGAGCGGCCACCACCTGAACAGGACGACGTGCACCTTCTTGCCCCTCCCTCCCAGCGTTTGGGCCAGGGAGCCGGGGAGACAGGAAAGCAGAGTGGGAGAGACTGCTTTCCGAACCCAGCAGGCCTTTGCAAGCTCACCCGCCTGCAAAGACCTGCCTGCGCCTCCTCACTCTTTCCTTCTGTACCCAACCCCCTCCCTGGCCCCCAGGCCCAGCACCAGCCCCTCCCTTCCCCACGCTGCTACAAACACCAAAGCAAGAGCTGAGAAACCGAAAGATGTCCCGTGTTCGTCCCCAGGAAAGACGTGATGGGCCCAGAAGAGGACAGAGGGCGGGCAGGGTTTGGACAAGGAGCAGAGGATAGGGATGGAAGGAGGGGGCATTCCAGGCTGGAGGGAACAGTGCATCAGCCAGTTAAAAAGCCCACCTTTCCCCTCGCCAAACATCAAGCACAGTATCTGGAAAAAAAGAAAAAAGAAAGTTTTTGGCTTCTTGGCCGCTGCCGGCCACCATCGTCCCAAGCGCGTGGACAGGTGGGTGGGGGCTGCACATGTAAACGGTGGACCCCGCAATCCGGGAGCTTCGGACACACAGGCAGCAGCAACACTTAAGGACCAATAAATAAAAGGTATCAGTTATATATGTATAAAAAAAACAAAAAAAAAACAAAGCTCACTTTCCCCACAAAAATCACAATACTGTTATCACAGAAAATCATCATCATAATCAATCCTCCAGGCCACACAGGTGGTCGGTGGCTCGAGGGCAGGACGACAGGTGACGTCCACCAGGCAGCCCCCTGACGCGTGAGCCCACCCGCGGCCAGGCCATGACTTCTCTGGTGGCCAAAGGACAAGGCAGAGTTCTCCGAGGTCCCGAGGCCTTCTCCCCATCGCTCAGTCTGAATCTTCTAGAATAGAAGGTAGTTGGGTTTTTTTTTCAATGTCTGTTTGAAATAAAAAACAAAAGCACACGCGCGGGAGAGCAGGGGGCCAACTGCTGCCCACGAAGCAGCTGAGTCCTTGGTTTTGCAGAGGGCTGGAGCCTTTTTCGTTTCGTGTTGTTTTCTGGACAAGCGGAGGTTGTTGGCGATTGGAGCCGGCGGCTTCAGGCGGCGGGTGGGTGCAGGGCAGGGGGCGGAGGGGCCTCGCCATCCGGGGCAGCCCGCTGCGTGTGGGTGCGGAGAAAGGCTGGGTGGACACAGGAGGGCGGTGTCGGGGCCGAGGCGGCCTCATGGCACGGGAGGACGTGAGCGGTTCCCAGGCATCTGGAAGACACAAGGAGGCGAGGCGGGTTTGGAGCGGGCCAACGGGACGTGCACAGAGCAGGCGGGAGAGCCGGCGAGAGGGCACGGCGGCGTGAAGTCAGAAGTCCTAACGCTGTGCACACCCTCCCACCCGCCCATGTGGCGGCGCTTTGTAGTTGTCCTTCAGGAGCGCAGACAAGGTTTCCTGTGGTAGCGTCTGTGACACCACGATGAAAAGGGAGGGAGCGAGCCCAGGGCGTACCCTCAGGGCACTGGTGGGTAAAGGAGGACGTCGCCCCAGGAGGAGAGCGTTCGTAGCCACTAAGAACAAGGTGGAGAACGGCCGAGAAGCACGTGAGGAGATGCTCAACAGCACCGTCGGGGGGATGCAAATCGAAACCACAGGGGAGACACCACGTCACCCCACAGGGTGGCTGTCCTCAGAAACCCAAGAAGAGCAAGTGCTGGCCACGGTGGGGAGAAATCGGAGCCCTCATCCGTGGCTGCTGGGCGTGTAAATGGTGCAGCCTCGGGAGAATGCAGTTGGGCAGTTCCTCAAAAAGTTCAACAGAGTTACCACACGGCCCAGCAAACCTACCCCGAGGTATCAACCCGAAAGAATTGAAAACAGGGACTCGAACAAATCCGTGTCACCCATGTTGACGGCAGCATGAGGCACAAGGCCCGGAAGGTGGGAGCTGCCCAGATGTCCACCCAGGAGAAAGGGTAAGAACGCGGTCCACCCCGACGAGGGAACAGGACTCAGCCACAGCCACGGAGGGAGCACCGCCACCTGCTGCCCCGTGGAGGACCCCGAGGACAGCACGCTGAGCAAAAGGAGCCAGGCGCAAGTGGGCTTTTTTTAAGAAACTTCCAGAAGAGGCAGATCTATAGAGATAGAAAGCAGATTAGTGTTTGCACAGGGCCGGCGCGGGGCCGGGGTGGGGGTGGGGAGAAACTGCTCCGCTGACGGGCATGTTCCTGGAGCGATGCAAATCTGGTAGACCGAGGCAGAGGCCGCGGCGGCACAGCAGGGAGAATGCGCTCAGTGCCCCTGAGCTGTTCTCCTATAAATGGTTAATTATTTTTTGAGATTACTTAATTAGGATTAAAAGGCCATGATAGGATTATATAATCTCTGCTATCTTTTGTGAATTCTTTATAACTTCTTTTTAAAATTATTTTTGTTTCCAGCTTTATTTTTTAATTGTATATTTTCCATTACCATTTATTCCCCCATACCTTTTTCTCCCTCTACCCATCTCCCTCTAAAATGGTTACTTTTATGCCATGGAATTTTACCTCAATAAATTAAGAATAGGGGAGCATGAGAGACAGTCTGTTGGTGTGTGCTCTTCCCACATGCCCTTCCCATAACCTGCTCCACATCCGTGTTAAATCTCGTGTCGCTGTCCCCTCCACCACACTGGACAGGTGTCAGTGTCTGACGCAGAGAGGGCCACTCCCCTGACTTGTGGGAGGTGACCCAACAGCTTTCTCTGGGCCAGTCAGGAGCCATGTGGCGGTGGCCCTGGAGGAGTCCGAAGGACCCCCAAGGACCTGCGTTCGGGCGGCCACGTGGCTCAAGGGCAACGGGAGAGAGAGGATGGGAGCAGATGCCCAGAGGGAGGACAGAGCGCCCCCACAGAGCGGCTGGGGCCTCCCTGCCTTCCAGCGCCCCCTGCCGACCCCCGGGGGTATGGCTGAGTTTCCAGCCACATTCCTCCCCTGTGCTGTGATCTGTGAACCGCAGTGAAGCAGCATTGTATCTGCTGGTGAAAGCCGCATACAATAGGAAGCTCGGTGAATGCATTTAAATCCAGAATGTACATACATATTTTTAAACTTCATTGGTCATCTCTAAAGGATGTTAGAAATCCAGCTCATCTGGAAAACTGGTAAAGAGAAAGAATCAAGTATGTCTCCTGCCCTTCCTGTTAAAAACGAGGACTCAGGGTAAGCCAATAGTTAACACTGGAAGTTTGCCTTTGTAGGAGCGATGCTGCTAGCAGCAAAGAGGGAGGGAAGGCAGCATACGACGTCACCATTCTGAACCACCTGTGAATGAATGAACGAACAAATGATCCGCAGAGGAGACCATCAGTGCTGCCGCCTAGTGGACACACACGACCCCACCCCCGCGCTGTTCTCCCCATAAGTGGATCACACTGAACGCCCAGCAAGCTTGTAGGTCTACGGCCCATTTCCAGGAAGAACAGGGGAGAGAAGATCGTGCTGACAACACCACGGGGTGCAGCCAGCAAACCCCACATTGCGGAAACACGGCAGAATGTGTTTCTGGACAAAACAGCAAAAAAAAAAAAAAAGGGAAGAGGAAAATTTGTAGATGAAAATCAACTTCAGAGACCTATCCATTCAGATTCTGATTCCAATCAACAAAGTGAAAAAGAATTGGGGAGGTTACAAGAAACTGGAATACCAGCTGAAGGCTGGAAAATATTAAGGAATTAATATTGATTTTTTGGCTATTATAGATTTTTTCAACAATCGTTCTTTTAGAACACATTTGGAAATATTTATGTATTAAATAATATGATGTCTTGAATTTGCTTCAAAATACCCAGCGTGGGAGTGTGTGTAGGACGGCAGAGATGGCAAAAGATAGGCTGTGAGTTGGTGATTCTGAAGCTGGGAGATGGGTGCATGGTGTTGCGCCATTCTCTCCACCACTGTGCGTGAACGCTTCCAGAATAAAACGTTTATTTATTCTACCCCCAGATTTAAACGACCCCAGGGTCCCACACCACAGGATGGGTTGAATTATGGCACAGCTAATACATAAGGCAATACTATGCAGCTCTTAAAAATGATAGTCTCAAACAACATTTGCCCATGTAGAAAATATGCATGATCTCAGCTCCTGAATAATTCAGTGAATTCTATAACAGTAATTTATCCAGGAGTTATGATACATCAGGAATCTGAGAAGGCAAATAAATCACAAAGATGATAGAATACAAATTGGATGTAATTACTGTCTAGTAGGTTCTGGGAAAGCCTTAGGAAAAGGGGAGGGCGATGGGGAAGAGCTATAGAAAGCTGGGTCTTGTCACTCTGAAAAGCTTGTCATGGCAATGAAGCTGCCCTTTCTTCGTGGACATGTTGCTGGTGAGGGTAAGATATATGTCTGCGCAAATGATGTTGGCTCTGAAATTTATTCAGAAATGCAGATAGCCTAAAGCAGCCGGGGCAATCTTGAAAAGAAGTGGTGGGTGTCACCTCCAAGATTAGGTTATAAAAAGACTGCGGCTTTCATCTTGGGTTCTCTCTCTCCCACCCTCCTGGGAAGCTCACCCTGAGAGGCCACTGGCCAGGGTGTCAGGCAGCCCTGTGCCGAGGCCCACGGGGCGAGGGATCGAGGCTGCCAAACCGAAGGAGTGAGCGAGGGAGTGGGTGAGCCCAGCCAAGCCTTCCGATGACACTGCATCCCCGGCCACCAGCTGATGGTCAGCCCAGGTTACCTGAGACTGAGGGGCTTCCCCAGGCAGGGGACTTCCAGCACTGAATCTGGGAAAGTCCTGGGCGAACTGGGCTGGTTGGTCACCCTGACGACGGCTTGACAGCATCCTCAGGAGAGACCTTGAGCCAAGACACCAGCTGAGCTGTGCCCAAATCCCTGATGTTTGCTCTTTTTAGCTGCTGATTTGAGGTCACGCAGCAGGGGGCAATAGGTAACTGACACAGCACTTCACTAAAGGGGACATTAACACGGACGATGCACCTAGGACGGTGCCCAGCCTCCATGCCCGTCAGAGAAATGCAAATTAAAATTACACCCACCGAAACGGCTAAAACTGAAAAGATACAGAGTGTTCAGGGTTGGCGAGGAGGCCAAACGATATGAACTCGCACGCTGTTAGCAGGAATGCGAAATGGTCCACCTGCGCTGGAAAACTGGTCACGTCTACTCAAGCTCCGTGAACAGATCCCATGTCCTAGTAATTCTGCTCTTAGGTAAATTCCAAGAGAACATCCCATCTGTCCACAGAGGATGTGTGCAACAAAGTTCATGGCTGGGCAGAACCTCGGGGGTTCCTCCACTCCCTTCCCCCGGCCAACAAAGGGGATGTAACAGGGAGAGGCGGGACAGATGTAGGAGAGAGAGAATCGAGGAAGACAGTTCTCTGCCAGCAGCCGAGGCCCCAGGGGGCATGCTATCATTCTGCGTTTGCCCCAACGCTGACTGCACAAAATGAGAAACCACATCCGAGCTACTGATCAAGAGAGCCAGGGGCTTGGCTGGCCCCTCAGAGAAGGGATGAGAAGCTGCTGCTCTCCCAGGCCCCGTCCCTGCTGAGAACCGGCTTGTCTAAGTGGTTTCAACCCAGGGAAGCTTCTCTCCAAGCAAACCCTCAGGCTGAATCTGGGTATATCAAAGAGCAGGGTGGCTCTGGCTGTTTGAAGGCCCTGCCTCCACCGGCTGCGCCCACCCTGGGCAGACCCTGAGGCGGGCAAGTACCTGCCAGCCCCCGGGGCCGCGGCCTGGGGTCCCTCCCTCTCCCCACCCGCTCCCGGCTGGCCACCGCCCGCCCCGCCCCGCTTACCCAGCTTACCCAGCTTGGCCTGGGCTACACCAGCCCGTCGTAGAGGGACAGCGCCTGCACGATCGAGGGGTCTGCCTTGGACCCCTCCTGGAACTCCTGCAGCGTCAGCTTCCCGTCGGCGTTCTGCGCGGCAGAGAGAGGCAGCGTCAGGCAGGGGACAGTGAGCTCCCCAGGACAGGCGTCTCTGGCCCAGCCCCCGGCCCCAGGCCCCGGGCGGTCCCCAGAGAGCTCCCACAGTTAGGTGAGGAGCCAGGCGATGTGCGCCACCAGGTAAGAAGAGTCGGGCATCAGACAGGCTGGGCACGTCCCGGCGGGGGGGCGTGTGCATGCGACCCACCTCTGTGGGTCCACCTCCTCAAAAGGGGCCTGGAGGTGGCCACGTGGCCACCCCAGGGCACAGGGGTGAGCGCTCCATAAGCCCGAGCTGTGTACCGTGCTCAGTAAACAGGAGGCGCCTGCAACTCCACAGCTGCCCTTGTCACGGCTGTACTTCCTGACAGGTGCCCCTAAGCTGAGAGCCTCCCAGGCACTTCTAGAAGGGTCCTTAAACGGTTCCGGAGCAGCCTACCCCGACCCTGGAGACCTGGGGGGAGGCCGGCAGGGTTCATGCCAAGGGACATGAGTCGGTCTCTTGGGGGAGGGGGTGGTCTGGGCCGGAATCTCTCCCCTTGGGGCATCTCTCCAGGAGACCCCTGAGAGCGGAGAAAAGGCCTCGGAGACCACCCACCCCGCCTCGGTGGGAAGCATGATGAGGGGTCCCCCAGCACAGCAGGTCACCCTCCTGGCTCGCCCACCACATGCCCACATGTGCCGGGTGCACCTGCTGATCTCTGGGGACCCTCAGGCCCGCCTCAAGAAGGGGTGCTGCTCTTAGCCCCGTTGTACTGGCGAGGAAACTGAGGCTCCATCGTCTACCCAGGTCCCACAACCAAGGAAGCCCCCAGTCTGGCCCCAGGGCGGGCTAAGCTTCCCTGCCTAAGGGACCCATGAATCAGGGAATTCAAGGAGCGTGGGCCTGGGCGCTAAACCACCTGGAACGCCCTGTGGAAAAGCGGGCATTCCTCGCCCCCCACTCTGGACACAGCTTCTGACGGCTACCCAGGGACCAGTGCCGTCCGACCCACGTGGCTGCACCCCCTCAGCCAGGGCTGAGCTCCCCATTTAATTAAGGAAGTACCGGCCTCGGGCCCAACGCCTCCAGGGCCGGGCCGGTCTCCAGCCAGCACGTACCTGCAGTAGCTGTAATAAGCCCCGTGTCGCTGTCATTTGTATTCTTTTTATTTAAGGCCAGCCATGCTGGGTGTTCTTTCCGCCCTGATAGCAGAGTCCCATGTTTAAAAATGAATTACAAAAAAAAAAAAAAAGCCAAAAAACCACGTTCGATATATAGGATTTCTTAACCTTGGGTCTGTGGATGGAATGCAGCAGGTCTGTGACCTCGGATGGGAAAAATGAGGTGGTTCTTCTCACTAACCTCTAACTGAAATTTAGCTTGTCCTTCCACGAGGAACCTAGGGGATGGTCCCCACAGAGCCCGCGGTACCTGTGACCTTGTCAGCCGTGGAGGTCACGGGCCCTTTCATAACACATCCCGGCTGCCGCCCGCATCATGTACACGGTGAAAGCATGGGGTGGCTAAACCCAATGCTGCAGCTTATCCGTCATTTATTTGTAAGTGTTAAAATTTTTTTATTGATTGATTTTAGAGAGAGGAAGGAAGAGAGAGAGAGAGATCGATTTGTTGTTCCACTTATTGATGCATTCATTGGTTGATTCTTGTATGTCCCCCGATTGGGGATGGAACCTGTATCCTTGGTGTACGGGGATGGTGCTCTAACCCACTGAGCTACCTGGCCAGTGCTACAGCTTATTATTTAAAGTGTTCATAAAGAGGCCCCTATAGTACTACATCACAGATTCTTTATAAAAAATGTTGACCATACTATTCCAAAATAATGAGCTTCCTTTGTGACCCTATGGATTCATTTGATGTACTTAAAACCATTATTCTAACAAATTCATAGATTTTCCAGAATGCCAAAGGGGTCCATGGCAAAAAATAAAAATGATGAAGAATCGCCCCGGCTGGTGTTGCTCAGTGGATTGAGCACCGGCCTGTGAACTGAAAAGTCACCAGTTCAATTCCCAGTCAGGGCACATGCCTGGGTTGTGGGCCAGGTCCCCAGCTGAAGGCGTGTAAGAGACACCCAACTGATGTTTCTCTTGCATATCGATGTTTCTCTCCCTCCCTTCCCCTCTCACTGAAAATAAATAAATAAAATCTTTTTAAAAAAAGTGGTGATGAATCTCAGTTGATAAAAGAAAAAGCGGTGGGTGAATTTACTTGAAAGCCATGTTTGATGGGGCTGGTGGCCAATTAGACCAGTGAGCATCTCAAGAGGACGTGCCACCTGCCTGAGCCAGGCCCACAGGGGGTCAGCAGCCGCTGTGGGGACAGGTCCCGACTCCCCGTGTGCTGGGACCCAGGTCCTGGCCCCATCCCCAGCCAGGCCCAGCCTCCCCACGGGCTCACCTTGTCCATCATGGCGAAGATCCGGTCCACCCTCTTCTCGGGGGTGTTCTCCTCCTCCGGGAGCTCCACGGTGTTCCCCTGTGGGGACAGGCGCGGTGGGGGCTGGGCTCCGGGCACGCTGGGCTTTGGGGCTGGGCCAGATATTTGCCCCCCAGACCTGGGCCGCTTCCAGACGAGGACCGCCTCTCCCCGCCTCGCAGCACCTCCGTCATCTCTGCCACTCGGCTCTGGGGCGTCCCGCCCACACAGCCCCCACCTTCCTCCCAGGATGTGCATAGTGACCCCGGGCAGCAACCCTCGCCTGGCCAGCTCTTGCCCCACCCAGGACAGCGGCCGCACTGGGCGGTCCCTCCAGGCCAAGCCGAGTTACACAGCGGCTCCCCCGCCCCAGGTCCCTCCCAGGACCCAGTCCTCTCACCACCATCTGGTAAATGGCGTCCACAATATCCAGCATCTCGTTCCTGGTGATGTAGCCGTCGTTGTCCAAGTCATAGAGCTTGAAGGCCCCTGCGACCGACCAGCCAGGGCGGAGTCACCCCGGGCCCAGGGCAGCGGAGGTCTGCCACCCACCCTCTGCCCTCTGCACCTCGACACGCAGCCGGGACCCATGCTCCTTACTCATTCGGCCAATGAACGTGTACATTGGGACAGACGGGGACACACACACGTACCCTTTCAACTAGGACTACAAGAAAAGAAACTAAGAGTAAAAAGGAGGGGGCACCCTGGCCAGTGTGGCTCAGTGGGTTGGAGCACCGTTCCATAAACCGAACGGCTGCAGGTTCGATTCCTGGTCAGGACACATGCCTAGGTTGCATGTCTGGTCCCTGCTTGGTCATGTAAGAAAGGCAACCAATCCTTATTTCTCCCACATTAATGTTTCTCTCCCTCCTTTCCCCTTTCTCTAAAATCAGTGGGCATGTCCTCAGGGGAGGATTAAAAAATAATTATAAAAATTTAAACATTAAAAATTAAAAAAAGGAGGGGGCACTGGCGAGCTCGAGGCCTGAGGCTGGAGCTGGCAGGGGGGAGGATTTGGCCCCAGGGCGTCCTGGTACTGCCCCCTGCCCCTCCCCCCGCCCGCTCCCCCCGCCCCCCAGCCTCTGCTGCTTCTCAGCCCCTTCCCAGCCAGTCACATGGTGTCCCTCGGGCCACCTCAGAAAATAAAACCATATGCCCAGAGAACAGGGGAGCTTTCGCATGAATAACATCCTCTTTTATTCAAAGGAGAAGGAGAAGGAGAAGAAGGAGGAGAAGGAGGAGGAGGAAGAAGAGGAGAAAGAAACTGCGGGGTGTTCTGGCAGTTGACACAGCACAGGGCACAGGTCTCAGTGAGCTCTGGCCCGGCTGTTCTCATCTTGTCCCCAGCTTCCCTCCCGCCGCCACCCCGTCCCAGCGTGGGCCTGCCTGCGTGTTCTGCCCCCTGTCCCCTTCTCTCTCCCTCCTCCGCAAGGCCCCGCACAGGCCCTTGCGGCCCGGAACCCTCTCCCCGCCCCCTCCAGGCCCGCTCAGCTCTGACTCACTGCCGGGTCAGCTCTCACCTCCCTCTTCCTGTCTTGGTTTTATGGGGCTTAAGAAAAAATCATGTCCCCACACTAGACTGCCAGCCGAGGGAGCAGGTGCCTGCTTGTCTGACCCTGGGACCCCTGGCCTCCCGCCCACACGGGCCTGGGGCCCTGCCTGGTTGGGATCTGCTGGGTGAACGAGTGAATCAGAGAATGAATCAGGTGGACCCTCAGAGCAGCGGCCTCCTCAGCGGGCCCAGCGCAGGACCTGGGTCTTTATCCCCAGGCGGCACGGCCCGCAGTCCCATGTCTGCACCTGCCCGGGGGTCCCCTAGGCCCATGCCCCACTTGCCATCCCGCCTACGTAAGCCATGTTCCTGCCGCAGGCCACCTGCGGGAACCGTCCTCTGACCTGAAAAGGCAGAACGTCTGGCCACTCTCTCAGCCCTGGACAGATGGCCTGGCCCAGCTCTCCGGCCTCCCCCCGGCCTAGGACCGCCCAGCAGCTGCCCAATAAGAGCCCCGGGGACGGACTTACACCGCAGCTTCTCATCCAGCGTTCCCCTTGAGGTCACCGACAGTGCCTGGATGAACTCAGAGAACTCGATCCGCCCGTCCTGGCAAGAGGGGGGGGCAGGGTGGCCCCTGTCAGCCGGGCCACCTGGTCAGGCCAGACCTTGGCAGGTGGTGGCGGGCAGCAGCAGGGACCAGATACGGTGGCAGACAGACACCCACATTGGGGTGGAGGTGGGGAGAAGGGATGAGGGACAGTACCAGGAAGGGGGAGGGGCCAGGAGTAGGATTAGACATGGGACAGGTCGGGCAGGAGGGACAGGGAGAAGAGGGGACGCTAAAGGGAGAGCCCAAAGCCACGTCTCATGAGAAAGCCAGGGAGCCACCAACACACGCACTGTCTCTGGGCAAGAGCTGCCTGGAAGCCCCCTTCCCCAACCTGGAACCACAGGCTCGGAGGCTCTCAAACGGGACAGGGCTCTGGACAGTTTCATTCTGCCTATTTGTTTCACAAATGAGGAAACTGAGGCCCAGGGAGGGCAGAGCCTTCCCCACGGCCAGACAGTGTGACTGTCAGCTGGGAGTCACCTGGGGAGGAGGCCAGGGCACGACAGAGCAGAAGCAACCCTCGTGCCCAAGAGCAGGGAGTGTGGAAACAAGCCACAGTGAATCCACCGTGAACACACAGGAGCCAGAAAAATGCTGGCGAGGGACAGAGTCCAGAGGACTGTGGACACCTCAAAAGTGGACATGCCAACGGCCGGCGTGGCTGTGGCCACAAGGGGACACGCTGCAACACAGGTCAGCCTTGGAAACGTGAATGCTCAGGGAGAGACGCCAGGCCCAACAGACCCCATACTGTCTCCTTCTCAGGGCCTCAGTTTTCTCATCTGTAAAACGGGGGTATTAAAAGGCCGTACCCCACAGGCTGTAAGTCCTACTAAAAATAATCCACAGAAAGGGCTCAGCACACGGTGAATGTTCAGTAAATGTCTGTCCTCATCGTACATCCTGTTACTACTGTCCCTGGAGGCGTCTGCATTTGGTGCTGGCAAGATCGAGGGACACATATGTGCATCTGTGAGCGTGCATGTTGGTGCAGTGCACCTGCGCGTGTGTTTGTGTGTCTGTGTGTCTGTGTGTGTGCGCGCGTGGCTGAGTGTGTGCCCCTGTGTGCTCCTCCCCCCACAGGGAACATCAGCAGGAGCAGCGGGTGCGCAGACGCTGTGGGGTCCGCGGGAGGGGGCAGGCTGCCGTGGGAGCGAGGGACTCGGCCGGCCAGTCCCCATCCGCCCCTGCTCACCTTGTTTTCGTCAAAGACGTTGAAAACAAACGTGGCGAATTTGGTGGGGTCTCCAAACGGGAAGAACTGCTTGTAGATCTTCTGGAAGCCGGCCGCATCCAGCTGCCCGCTGGGGCAGTCCTTGATGAAGCCTTTGTACCTGAGGCAGCAGACCAGGCGGGTAAGGGTGAGAGATGCCCACCTCACCCACCTGCCAGGAGCTCCTGCCTGGCACCCCGACGCCTGTGGGTCCCTGTCCAAGGAGACAGTGACACACGGGGTCCTGGGCACAGACCCGGACGTCACAGGCCTGGGCTCATCCCATCTCTGCCTCTCGCTAGCTGTGCGACCAAAGACAGGTGGCTGTACCTCTCTGAGCCTTATTTGTACAGGGAGTAAGAGTCATGTGAAAATTAACCCAGATAGTGTGCACAGAGCAGGTGGCCCCTCAGCCCGTGCTCCACAGAGGGGGCTAAAAGCTAACTCACCCCAACAATGTCCCCGAAGCCACACTCTTGCACAAAACTATTCCGCCCCCCACCCTGCACTTTCTCCACTGAGCCCCTCCTGGCCCCACAGAACTGGGCGGCTGGAGACACTGGTAGAGCCAGTGGGCAGAGCCACCAGACGGAGCGGGCAGCTGGTCCTACCACGTGCCTGCACCCCAGTACACGCCCCACCCCCAGCCTCTGTTCCCGAGAACCATGTAACTGACGCAGGAGCAGCAGTGTGAGCGTGGAGGGAACGTGGCTTGTTCCAGGCGACTTGTCCACCGTGTGTTCCCAGTGCTGAGCACAGAACGCTCCAGACACCTGGCAGACGGAAGCATGGCTTGGCAGCCCAAATCCCAGCTCTGCCATCTGCAAGCTGCCGACCTCGGGCCAGCATCCTCACCCCTCTGAGCCTCGGTCTCCTCATCCATAAAGAGGGCCAGTTCTCACACCCCTTCTGCCGGAACCAGGATGGTGCCTGTGGCACACTTGGCACAAAGGACAGTCAACGGCAGGATTGTTTGCGTTCCGCACTTAAGGGACGCACAGTCCTCTGAGGAGGATCCCCAGCGCAAAGGGAAGCCAGAGGCAGGGAGCGGCTGTCGGCGGCTGTGGCCATTACTGCTCGGGCAGCTCTGGGCTGGCAGCCTGGCAAGCCTCCGTCTCCGGGAAGAACGACCCACGGCTGAGAGCCAGGCGCTACCATGGGGCCCCTTGTGAGGATGGGGAAACGGAGGCTCCGAGAGGGCAGACATCAGTCCTGCAGCCCAGGCTGGAGCTGAGTGGGGGTCAAAGGTGAAGAGCCAGATGCTCAGAGACACCAGATCGCTGAAGACCTTCACACCTGTCCCACCCTTCTCTGCTGTCACCAAGACCCGTACGGAGGTTTCTCTCTCCCCTCTCCCGTGCCAGGAAGGGGTTCTGGGAGGATTGTGCTGGAAGTTGCTGGTGGCACCATAACTGGGTCCACAGATGGAGGGAGATGTGGAGAAGTCAGTTTCCCTACCTGTTGGAGAACAACTGAGGGGCCTGGGGTGGGCGCTGGTCACACAAGCCAACCGCTCCCACATCCCACACCCAGCCGCACTTTCTAGAACCTGCCGTGCGATGGCCAGCCGCCAGACCCTTGTGCCTGTGGGCCGTCCTGCCTGCAGAACGCGTCTTCCTCCTCTTCATTGGGCTCATCCACTTCCCCGCTGTGTCCCAGCTTAGATGTCCCTTCCCCAGCAAGTCACCCCAGGCCGCCCAGAGCCCACGTGGCTCCTCCACTCCCACACTGCCCGTGTGCCCCGGCAGGGTACGGACCATGCCTCCAGGCTGTGCCCCGACCTGGACGCACGCTCTCAGATGCAGTGGTGCCCCAACGCCTGGGTTGGGGTCTGGCACATAATGGAGACTTAGTAAGTGTCCAGTGAGATAAACAAATGGAATGGATGAATGAGTGAACAGACAAACTGCCAACCAGAGAAAGCAAGAGCCCAAATGGGCTGCACCTTCTTCCTGAGCCCCAGGGTCCCCGGCCAGAACAGAGAGCTCCCTGCAGACGGTTAGAGACCCCTCCATGGATTGATGGGGAAGTGGGGGCCCAGAGAGGGGGACAGCCTGGCCCAAAGCCACAGAGCATGTCAGCAGCAGAAACAGGGCTCAGACCCAAGGCTCCTGCCTCCCGGGTTCCCACTCGCCTGCCGCTCTGGGAGCCGGGCCGCACCATCCGGGCGCCAGCACAGGGGTGAAGCGCCTGCTGCCCCGACATGGCACAACCCCGCTGCTCGTCATCAGAAGGCGGGGGATACCCTGCCACGCTGGAACAGAGAGGCGGGTGGTCTGAGCTGTCCCAGACGCGAGCCCCAACGCGCCCCGCCAGTCATCACAGCTCCGAGGCCAGCTTCCCACACCCTGGAGGTCCAATCTGAGGTGCAGCCCATCCCCCATCCGCTGGCCAAGTCAGGCCACCCCGCACCAGGCACACCCCCAACTGTGGGCGCCCGAGAGAGCTGCTGCCTCGTAATGAAGCTCATGCCCAGAAATTTCGCCCCCAGCCGGGCCGGGCCTCCGGTTCTGACAGGCCCGGGCCTCCTCCCTCCCCCCGCCGGCCCCTCCCGCTCTCCCTCAGACCTGGTGCCGCCAGGAATCCTGCTCCTCTGCCCGGCACCCAGGGGGCGCGGGGCCTGTGCCCCTGATCCTGTCCTGTCTCGTGTCCCTCCGTCCCAGCGGCCCCAGCGCCCAGCACTGGCCTGGCCCATGGTAGGTGCTCAGCAAAGATTTACTGAACAAACGAACTGGCAAACGAATGACTGAGTGAACGAATGAATGAACAAATGAACGGCAGTGAATGAATGGATGAGTGAGTGAGCACTCGCCATGACGCACAGTTCTAGTTCCTGCTCCGTGTCTTTTTCTCTGAGGACCCCAGGGAAGCCCCGGCGCTGCTGGGGGCCTTGGTCCCCCAAAGGCTCGGCCTTTCTGGAACTCAGGAGGTGGCCCAAGCTGGTCTCGGACCCAACACCAGCCCCCCTTCTCCAAGCCTGCAGCCTCCTTCCCCTGCCGGACACAGACAGCCACACCAGCAGCCCCGAGCTGGGGCTGCTGAGAGCAGGCTGCGTGGCGCCCAGCGTGAGGCCTGGCAAGAGGCGACCGCCCAGCGGGTGCTGGCCCAGGTGGCACGCTGCTGTGACCGGGCCTGGGCGCTCCCGGGGCACCTGGGCCCTGACCAGCCCTGAGCCCGAGTTCTAGTCCCAGCTCTGCTTCTGCTTCCTGCGTGGCCCGGGGACAAATCATGGAATCACCGAAGAGCCTGGGCTCGGTTCCTCTCCTTTTAGCAGCTACTAAAAGGCGGCACAAAACAAGACAGCCCTGACTCATGGTGGGGACACGGGGCCCCGGGGGCCAGTGCGGACCTCCCCGAGCAGGGTACAGGGGAGTGGAGATGCCAAGGCCCGGGGACAGAGGGAGCAGCAGAGGGAACAGCCAGGCAGGAGGCTCCCTGGTTGCAATGAGCTCAGCAGGGACAAGGACACCCCTGTGGCTGCTGTCCAGGGAGGGGGCAGAGGGAGCAAGCACGGAACTAGGGAGCCGTGAGAGCCAGGCCAGGGGTTGGGCTTTCCTGTAAGTGCCGTGGAAGCCGCAAATAGACTTTAAGCAAGAGAGAGAGAGAAAAAAAAAAGAAAGAAAAACCACAGAATGAAATGAAAGCCACTTCCCTGGCTGGACCTACCTGGAAACTTTGTGGGTGAGACAGGAGAATTCTGTCCACGGCATGGCCCTCCCTCCTGTTTCCCCAGACCCAACCCCAGAGACTTTGGTCCTAAACTCTTTGCCGCTCTGATAGGCGGGGCTCAGGAACCCTGAGTTTTCCCAAGAGAGGGCAGGCATCGCGCATTCCCCAGCTACAGGGGCCTTGAGACCCACTGAGTGTGCAAAGGGGCACTGGCTGGAGCCTCGCGAGAAAGGGTCCCCTGAAAATGGGCCAGCAATCGGGAGGCAGGGGCCGTTCCATTTGCCTCCTGTGCAAAGGACGAGGGGACAGTGGGCTGCACGGATCTGGCCTCTGATCCAAAGGGCTCGTGAGACAGTCCCGGAGAACCTGTGAGGCAGGCCAACGGAAGGGTAACAAGAGGGCCCATTCTGGAGGCCAGCAGCAACTGCAGCGGCTGTCCCGAGCGCGGCAGCAGACCGATCCAGAGCGCTGTACTCTGCGATCCGTTACCCACGTCTGCGCGGGCCCAGGCAAGGAGGGTGGCGGCATGAGCTCCATGGTTCAACCGTCCCTGGTCCAAAGACCCCCCTGGGATGCGGCCTTTCTAGAATAAACAGTGAGGTGGGCGGTGGGCTGACCCAGAAGGGCCAGAGGAATGCTTTGGTTCAGCTCCCTCCTAGCCTTGAAGACACCACCAAAATGAGCCCAGGGACACTTATGTGATGTCCATGGAACTTTCTGGCAAATTAAAGATCACTTTTTAATAAGCTCTTTAGAGAGAGTTTCCCTGCAGCAGGACAGGGTGTCACAAGGCCTAGGTCCCAGTGTTATTTTGGGAGCCCTAACGACGGCCCCCCACAGGCCCACCCCCTTGCCCTCCCAGCCGGTCCCCAAACACGCTGAGCCTGCGCCCGCCGCTGAGCCTCCGGGCCTCAGCTTCCCCATCCGCATCATGAGGAGGGGGCCCCCAATCTCAGGGCTGCTCCGCGGGTTGTGCTGCTGCTGCTACCAGTATTATTATTGCTGCTGTTTCAACAACACCAACGAAGAGATGATTACCAGGCTCAGTTCTGAACATATTCTATAAATCAACTCATTTATTCTTCACGATATTCCACTACAGTTTGACTATTGTTACCTTCGCTTTCCAGATGGGGAAACTGAGGCACTGAGAAGTTCAGTAGCCTGTCCGCGGCCACTCAGCCAGGATGTGGGACGCTAGGGATCACGCCTGGCACCCTGACTCTGGAGCCCACCTGGCCACTTTGCCTCCTGCCTGTCCGGGGGGAGGCCCAGGTGTGAGCAGGGCAGAATGCAGGAGCTCAGGTGGGTCCTGTATCTCTGGGGACTCAGAGGCCTCGCCTATGAAGTGCCTTGAGGGGGCAGGTGGCCGTGAGGACGCAACGAGTGAGGACACGTCTCCAGGCCTCGGTTCCCCACCTGAATGGTGGACGGAAGACCGTTGGCGATGGCTGTCATGTCTCGGGCACTGTGTTGTGACCTGGGTAGGAAGTGACTCCCCAACGCGTCCTCATTCCTGTCATACGCGTAGGGAAACTGAGGCTCCAGATTCAGGTCATCCACGGTCCCTCGCATGGGAAGGGCACAGCCAGGGCTCTGGAGCTCATCCCTGAACCAGCAAACTTTGCTCGAAGGTCTGCACGTGCAGCGAGCTCACCTCCTCGCTCCCCTCACCATGCCCCCAGCTCGGTTCACCCTGGCTGCTCCTCACCCCACAGTGACAGACAGCGCGCCGTCTCCTCGCCCCGCCCGGGCAGGCATCACTAATCCATTACAGACTCAATCCCTCACGGCTACGCTTTGCATCTGCACCAGGACACACAGCCTCAGTAACACCCAGGCAGCCGCGGAGGACTGATTAGAGCTGGCATCCGAGAGGGAGTCTACTTGCCATCCTTGACCCAGTCTAATCGATCGCATTATGGAGGGACAGCCGAAGCCCAGAAAGGGGAAGGGACTTCTTAAGGCCACAGGACGATGTAGTGACAAAGCCGGGCCTGGGAACCCTATATCCTTGTTTCTGGTCCAAACCCCACCCCTCTTTGGTGAGCAGGGCCTGAATTAACAACCTTCAGGGCCTGGTGATCCTTACAGATGTCACACAAGACAAGGAGGTATCAACCCCCCCCCCCCCCCCCCCCCAGCTTATTTCAATCTCTGTCAGCCCGTCCTCGGGAACAGAGGCTGCCTGGACTGGTTTGTGGGTGGGCCGTGCTCAGAGGCCACTCCCCGTGCCCCTGCCCTGGGCAGCAGGGCTTCTGAACCACCAGCCCAAAGCCCCCACCCCCGACCCACACCGCACCGGGGGAAGAGCATCTACTCACCACTGCTGGACTTCCTTCTCCGTAACTGCAAGAGAAAACAGAAAAGTAGCCTTTCAGCTCAGGGAGGTGTCCCAGGGGATGGGCAGACACCGGGCGCCCGCTCCCTGTGCTCCCACCCCACCCTGTGGCCGGCCCGCCCGCCCGCCTGTGTCCGGGCACCAGTGGCTCTGAGCAGTCCCAGTCAGGAGCTCAGTGTCGGGACACCCGAGCAGGGGACAGCGCTGGCCCGCCCCCTCCCAACACCCACTGTGCTGCCAGCAGGGCGCCCAGAACAGCCTCCCACGAGCAGCGCTGGCTTCTCCAGGCCCCCTCCTGCCCTCCTGGGTGAACAGTTAGCATACACTCTTCCCATCTCTCAGCCCCGGGCACGGCACAGTCAGACAAGGGGCTGGCTTCCCAGGCACCTGGTGGTCCCGCCTGCACATGGGGGGCCGGCGAAAGGCCGAGCCCCCCCTCCCCGGGCCCCGCAGCGCCCAGCATCCCCTGCCTCGGCCTGTCCCTCCGCCCCTCGCAGGAGCCAGTCCTGAGTTCTCTCACAAGCAGGGGGAGAACGGAGACGTGAACCAGAAGCTGGAAGGAGCCAAATAAAATGGCTAGACCTCCAGCCAGGCCCAAAGAGTCATTCTTAACCGAACCACGAAACGAACAGAAATGTTTTGTTTTGTTTTTTAATTACTGAATTGGTTCAAGATGGAACAAAGCCAATGTCCTCTCTAAACCCCTTCCCAGGCCACGCTCACTTTCTGCAAGGGTAACCTCAGGAGAGCACCTCCGGCTCCTGTGCCTCAGTTTCCTCGTTTGGAAAGTGGGAATAAGAGTGACAGTACCTGCCACAGACGCTGTCCCGAGAATTCAATTAAAACAGGTGTGAGAGCTCCTGAAACCCAGCACCCAGCCTGGCACCTGCGCCTGCTCCACACAGGCTTGAGGAACGAGTGTATGAATGAATGAATGAACCCACTGGTGAATGAATGAACAAATGAATGAATGCATGAGCAAATGAGTGGACAAATGAATGCATGAAGGAATGAATGCATGAAGGAGTGAACACATGGACGAATGTATAAATGAACAAAAGAACACATGAACAAATGAATGAATGTGTGAGTACATGAATGAACGTATAAATGAACAAATGAATGAGTGTGTGAGTGAATGAATAAATGCACGACAAACAAATGGGTGGAAAGGTAGGTGTTAGGTGACGGTCCGGTGAGTAAAGAAGCTCTGGGGAGGGAGAAAGAGGCTTCAGGGGGTGTCCCTGCACTGTCTGTGCCTGATCAGACTTGAGGCCGCTTTTCAAAAACGGCTAAAAGCCAGCTTTTAACAGGTGCCAAGGACCAAGCGCCCACCGCGAGCCAGATCTGTGCCTGGGCGCCCGGGGCCTCCGAACTTTGGCTCAGCGGCCCTGACAGCTGCTCTGAGGGATGACGGCATTACTCTGTCCTGGCTCCAAATGGGGAAACTGAGGCACAAAGGGGTCAGCACATGAAGTGGTACGGAGAGGGTCTGAACTCAGCCGCCTGACCCTCGGCCTGGAAGCCTCTGCCAGGCCGCTCCGCATCAGCACCCCCCTCCCTCAAGCCCGGTCAGACGGGGAGGGGGCGGGGGGGAGACCTGCCCACCAGTAGGCGGCTGACAAAAGGAGAGCCAGGCACCGATGGGAGATGTGGGCTCCCAGAAGCGGCCAGGCCTGGGGTAAAAATGTGCAATTTTCCAAGACGGTTTGGACAGAGGGTAGGGGCTGGGAAGGGGGTCCGGCATGCGGCACAGAGGGAGGGCATCCCTGGTCTAACAGGGTTGGGCTGCCCTGGACCTGCCACCTGCACCTGGCAGTGACGGGCAGCAGGGGCTGAGGGGCTGGGGCTCAAAGACCGAACCTGGAGACCAAGACCACCCTTCGCAGCACAGCCAGGAGCTCAGGGACGTGGACTACAGAGCCGGACCGGACCACCCGGGCTCAGATCCCGCTCCACAGCTCACGAGCTGTGTGCCCCAGGCAAAGTTCGTCCCCTCGCCCTCTCTGAGCCTCAGTTTCCTGATCCGTCGAGCCCGCTTACTGTGAAGAGTCAAGTACTCGGTGCTCTTCACCTGCACAAAAATCCCGTCGGTGGGTACGATCCTGTTTCCCCGATAAGGATGCTGAGGTTCAGATGGGTCAGCTAATTCGCCTACAGTCGCCCCAGGTCACCTGCCAGGAAATGGCAGGGCCAGGACTGTGCCTCCAGGGCCCAGCAGGGATTGCCAATTAAGGTCCCACCCTCCCCCCATCTTGAGTCATTCAGTGATTTCCGGGACCTTGTGTGACCTTGGTATCATGTGACATAAACAGCAGGAGCTGGGTGACCAGAGCTTGGGTGGCGGGGCCACACAGGGCCAGAGAAGGCGTCCAGGAATCTCCCAGCCCACAGTGCTCACCCTTCCCTGACTCCCAAACAGCCCCCAGCAGCCTGCCCCCGGGGCCTGCCAGCCTCCAGCCTCCCCAGTGCCCCGGGGAAGCAGGAGCCGTGGGAGGCAAGCGGGGGAGGGAGTATGGTTGGCTACCCCTCCCGCATTAGACCAGTCCCCAGTACAGAACACAGGGCGAATGGCAGACGGCCAACCTCCAGGGGACGTGACCTGGGCTGAGGGATACAAGCCCCACCTGAGGCTGTAAGCAGCTAATTAACCTTTGGGAAACAGATGAGTCTGTCTGGTGTCCCGGCACCAAGCCAAGGCCTGCTGCCCTCCCCAGCTTCCCTGCCTGGAGTCTGGGAGAGTCTCGGGAGGGGGCAGGGGGCAGGCAGCGGGCAGCACCCAAGGGCCTGGCCACCCGCCCCGCCTCCACCAGAGTCAGACGGGCCTGCGTCCAGATCCCAGCCTCCCACTTGCCTGCTCCCATCCCAACCTGGAGTTGAACAGCCTCCCTCATTGTTTCTTTAGGCGAGGAAGGAAGTGAGCAGGGCGGCCGCCGGGGGAAGGACCCAAGGCCACGGCCAGAAGGAGGCGCTGCAGGACCTCCACCCGGCTCGGCCCCACGTGGAGACCTGCGTTCTCACCACCCAGTTGGGTTTCTAGCCATTCCCACTACACCTTCTGGACCCTTCCCTGCCCTCCTGTCCGATCATTCACTCAGATGTTTCTTTTCACTCACCTGCCTGATCTAGCTTCAGTCTAAGCAATAACATCTGTAAAATTACCAGTGACATGTGCTAGTCGTATCTTTTCCAAACACAATAAAGACAAACTATTAAAAGAAGCCTGTCTTTGATCAAACCTGGCCTCCGCATCATAAATCGCCCGGATGTGTGCCCCCCCCCCACCCCCCGTGTGACGCGGCGGAAGGATGTTATCCACGGAGTGCTCCTGCCAAAAAGATTCAACCTGAGCCTATTCACGAGGATGCAATCGCCCAAATCCAGGCTCTTCTACAGATAGGTGGCCAGGACACTTCAGTAAGTCAGCGCCCTGAAAGGTAAAACAAGGCAGGGGACTGTTCCAGAAAGAGGCTAAAGAGCCACGGCACCGAAAGCAGCTTGCAAGGTCTGGACTGGGCCCGGGATCTGGAATTAAACCAGCTGCAGGGATCTTGCTGGGACAGTGTTGTGGCGGGGGGGCGGTTAGTGCACCACACAATGAGGGGGCCGTTAGGCATCCTGACAGGACTCACGGTTGATTTTCTCAGGAGTGAGAACACCAGGCAAGTGGTGTGAGAAAATGTCCTATTTCCTTGGAGATGTGCCCTGAAGTATTGAGGGGGGGCGGGTCAGGACGCCTGCTGTTTCTTGTGACAGGTGCAGAAATACACAAGCGAATATTTAGAAAGAGGAAGCAAATGTGTGGAAAATTTGTTGACAGCTGGAAAGTCCGCAGATGCTCCCTGATTGGGGTGGGGTTGCATCCCAATAAGCCCATTGTAAGCTGAAGATATTCCAAGTTGAAAATGCGTATAACGCTACGCGGTGGGGTGCCGGCCGTTCGCCCTCGCGGCCACGTGGCTGACCGGAGCCGCCGCGTGCGCGCGGCCCAGCATCACCGGAGACCCTCGCCTCGAGTAGCGCCAGCCCAGCAAAAGAGCAAAATTCCAACCGTGAAGTCCAGCCTCTACTGAATGGGCATCGCTTCCCCGCCGTTGGTGAAAACTCAGAAGTCACACCATCTGAAGCTGGGGACTGTCTGTTGTTGAAGGACACACAGGTGCTCGCTGCACTATTATTTCAATGTTTCTCTTGATTTTTCAAAACAAAAAGCTGGGAGGAAACGTGCGTTCTCATCAGCCCACCCCCTGTGCATCCCCATCCCCCCGGGCCAGAAGGGCCGGGGTCCTGTCCCCTGAGCCGCTCCGACCACCACAGGCACTGAGGAAGGAGGGACCCAGGGGACAATTTTGGGGTCCCTCTGCCTCTACACTCTGTGCAGGTAACCAGAGTGACATTCGGAGGCTCAGGCTCCCCCGCTGGGCCTCACCCCCACCCCGCCCCACCCTGGGGCCGCCATCCAACGTTAACAGGCAGCCTTTACCCTGGGTGGGGCCCCACTCAGGGCGCAGAAGTCAGAGCTGAGGGCTGGGCAGGAGGGACGGTCACCCACCCCAGGTCCCCCACCCACGTCCCCCGCCCACGCCTAACCCCATGACCCCTTCCAGCTCCTCCCACCGGCCCCGCCTCCAGGCCTTTGCACCCACTGTTTCCACTGCCCCTGCACAGCCTTCTAATGCCAGCCGGGACGTCCCTTTTCCAGGGAACCGTCCTCGCCCGAGCCAGGCCCCTCTGAAGCCCCCTCACATCTGGGAATCGGCGCCTTATAAGGAGTCTGTCTTCCCACAGGCTCCACAGCAGAGCGTCAGACAGGGCGCTACCCAGGCCAAGACGGGGAGGGGACAGCGGTAAAATACAGTGGCCCACAGAAAGGGCTCCGGGGACCGCCCAGCCAGCGCTCCCGGCCAGGGCTGACCGTGAGACCCTCATCTCCGAGGCCTGGCTTCTCACCTGAAAATGGGACAGGCCACCTCCGTATTACAGGAGGACGGGGCACATAGAGTGCTAG